GGGACGCGCTGGGCCCAGGGTCTGGCCGGCTGCCGTGGGGTGGGGACATGCTCGGCCCGTGGTCTGGCCGGCTGCCGTGGGGTGGGGCCGATCTGGGGTCCCTTGTTCCAGGCTCTCTGGCCTTTCCTGGCGTGACACTAACGCTCGACCTCCTGCCCCCTCTCCCCAGGCCTGTTCTGCTCCTGCCCCGTGCCGACGTCCTTCTGCTGCCGCTCGCTGAGACCGGGGCCATGTGGGCCCTGCTGGTGCTCCTGTGCCTGATGCCACCGGGCTCCTCGGCCCCTGGGGCCCTGGCTGAGGTGCGTCAGACCCCGCTGCCTGCCGGAACCAGGGCCAGGGCCCAGGGAGCTCTGCCGAAGGCCCCTCTGACGGTGTCGGAGCTGCCGGCCCGGGGCGCGGACCCCCTGCTCTCCCTCAACCTGGGCCTGAACTTCAAGATCAAGGTGAAGAGCCAGGGCAGCTTCCGGCCGGCAGGTCCCAGCGCCGAGCCGGCCCTCGCAGACCTGCCCCCGGCCGACACGCCGGACCCGATCTCCTCCGCCAATTTCCTGCCGCCCGGCGAGGCCCTGTCCGGCTCCTCCTCCACGCCCGGCTCGGGGTGGCTAGTGACCGGCTCTGCGGACGAACCGTCGCCGGACGCTTCCCACAGCCCCGGGAGCTGGGGCGAGACCGTCGCAGACTGGGACGGCTCCCCGGTTCCCCAGTTCCGCAGCAGCCCCGGGGGCCGCCCGCCGAGCACCACCCCCTTCGAGTCGGAGTTCCTGGAGCCGGTGCCCACGGCCCAGCTCGCCTCGTTCCGGCCCGTGCTGGGCTCCCAGCCCGACGTGATGCTGCCAGCTGCCAGGCAGCCCACCCCCGCCAGCTCCCCCCGGGGGCGCAGCCAGGGCCTGGAGTTCCAGATCAACATCGACCTGACGGCTGGGCTGGACCAGGAGGTGGGCGCGTCCCCCACCCACGTCCTGCCTGCCAGGGGGGGCAAGGGCCCGGGCACCAGGTGGAAGTACCCACTGCTCCCCAACCTGAAGGCAGGGATCTCGGAGATCGCCAGCAAGCTGGGCACCTCCAGTGAGTACGGGGAGGGGCTTGTCTGTCTGCTCTGCTCCCCACACGGCCCCAGTGCCCCAGCCCCTAGATGTGCGTCGCACGAGGAGCCCAGGGCACGGTGCTCGCTCCACGCAGATTAATGTACTGGCAGTGTCAGGCCACTGTGATCATCTAGTCCGGCCTCCCGAGCACTGCAGGGCAGTGACCCCCCCGAAACCTTTCCCGGAGCGGAGCTCGGAGCAAACCATCACACCTGGCTTTTAAACCAAGCTGTGCGGGGGGGTCTGCGTGTGTGCGAGATTGTGTGTGTGTGTGTCTGTGACATTGTGCCGTGTGTGTATC